CCCCACCCCCCGCCTCTCCTCCAACTTCCCCGTCCCGCCCCGGCGAGTCCTACCGGAGTGAGGGGCCCTCGAAGAGCTTCAGCTGCCAGCAGCCTCGAACTTCAGCCCCGACCCATGGCTTTTAACCCCTGAACTCCCTCCCCCAGCTCACTCAGCATTTCCTTGTCATTGGCCTCCCCCTCTCCACCCCCAATGGCTCAGCAGGCTGTGGCCAGGCACCCCCCAGCCAGGGCTTGGCCCTCCGCTTGGGGCGGAGCTTCCAGGACGTGCTGGGACCCAGATCTGGCCCCGCCCCAGTCGGAGTTGAACCTACTGTGAACTCTCCAGCAGCAGGACCCAAACAACAAAAGGGAGGGGGAAAGCCTGTTTTCTTACCCACCCACTCCCAAGCCCCATGCCGATCTCTTACTTCAACCCATTCTGCACCTCATGTTCTAACCTCCTCTCTAACCCAAGGCATATTCTTCATCAACGGTCAACCCCCAGATGACCATGCTTTGCCCTGTCCCCATCTCCCTATCCAACCTTAACCTACCCTCACCCCCAGCCTACCCCTCAGCCCCAGTCCCGTCTCCAGCCTTGTCTCAAGCTTAGCTCTCAACCTCACACCCAACAGAGCCAGATTCCAATTCCCGACCTCATCTCAGCCTTTTAACTTCTGAAAGACGCAGGGATGCCCAAATCTGTTTCATCATCCTGCCTCCTCCCGCCCCCCCGCCCCCCAACATCAGGCACAAGAAGGAAGTCATCAGCTAGGTGAAGGGAAAACCACTTGTCTTGGACTTGGATGGGGGCAGAGACTGGGCCCTCCTGGGAAAACCATATTTTGGATAAATGACCTTTCAGGAGCAGGGTCAGATGGGATGAGAGAGTCCATGGGGATGTAGGTGGAGAGGGGGAAGCAAGAATCGACAAACTCTGGGGACCCAGATTTAGGGGTGTGGGGAGAGGAAGGAGGAAGAGGTGGCGTTTTGGGAATGAGTAGGTGTCTCCAGGAACTGACTGGGTGGGGCCCTGAGTTAATCCCAGGGGGTGGAGGGGGCAGAATTAGGGAATTAAGAAGAGTAGAGGTGGGGTCAGAATTTGGAAGAAGGTAGGATAGGGACTAGATGAAGTTTGGAAAGAGTTAGAGAGTGGAGGTGTCACCAGGAGGTTGAGGAGCAGAGACAGATGGGTGAGGGTTCACATCAATGCTGATGTCGTCCATATTGGCAGAGTTAAGGCGTGGATGTAGGGATCAAATCTAGTGATAAAAGATGGCCCTAAAAATGGTCTAACCATGACTTCTGACATATATGAAATGAACATACGTCTAAGATTTTATTTTGACTCATGCATAAGTGACAGAGTCAGTAAGATGTTACAAAGAACCATACATGTATAGACAATACGGAATGTTGAAATGAATGTACAAATAGATGCAAAACTGGCTATTCCACACTGAGGGGAGGAGGGCACACTATTGTCCTTCCACGTGGCAAAATTTATTTACACAGTTATGGATGAGAATTGCTTGCATTGCTTTCAGATAGCTACAACTTAGAGTTATAAAGTAACTCAAAGACAGTGAAAGAGGCAGAGAACCCATAAAATCAGATAACCCATCTAACTTTCCACTGAGGATACCGGTTAGGTCCATTTCACAAGGAGGAAAAGCATGGCTTAATATGGGAAGTGAGTTGAGTTTGTGGTTGGGTTTAGGATGGGTCTGATGACAGAGTTGGGAAAACAATGAGTTTGGAAAGGAGAATGGAAAATGAGGTGGTGGTTGAATTGGTTTTGGGGACAGGATTGGGTTGTAGATGGGAGGTGCCTGGGGAAAAGTCTGTTGATAGAGTCCTGTTGGATTGGGGCTGGAGATGGTATCAAGATCAAGGTTTTGAATGGGGAAGTGTTGAGATATAGTTGAGTTGGGGCTGTGGGTTGACTTTGGTGATGAGCACAAGACATGAAGTTGGGTGTCAGTGTTGGGGTAGGTTTTGGTGGGGCCGGGCTGGGTCACAGCTGTGAATTCCTGCCAAGGTGACAGAAAGGTTGCCATCCTCCACCCTGGACTTCTCCCACCTCACAGGGCCGGGCCTGAGTTCACTCTTTTTGAGTGGAGTTGGGTTCAGGTGACGTGGCTGGAGGGAGGATGCCAGGTTAAGTGAGGTGACAGTCTTGTGTGGGAAGCTTGGGTACCTGAGTCCTCTTGTGGCCTGGGTCCCTGCTTCCAGAGAAGCCCTTCTTACTTGGGAGGGGTTGGAGCCCGGAGAGGGGGTGGCTGGCTTTGGCATTTGCTGAGGGGTGAGTGCCAGGTCAACATTGATGTTAAGGGTTATGATTGGCTGAGACTCAGGTTGGCTGAATCTGACTGAAGTGAGGTCATGGACCCACCAAGGGCTGGGTGCCTTCCACCACCTCCTCACTTGATGAACAAGACAACAAGGGACCCATGGCTGAAAGTCACACACATAATGGACCAGATCCAAGTGCACTCTCACAAATTAAGGCCTTTTTTCCCACCAGAGAGAGCTGGGTTGGAAAAAGAGACAATATTCCTAGTGGTTCAGAGCTCAGACTCTGGAGCTAGACTGCCCAAGTTCAGATGATGTGGCTCCTCTGTGCCTCAGTGTCCCCATGTGTAAATTGGCATGATTGATAGAACCTACTCTATAGAGAAGGTAGATGAATTAATGAATTAATGTTTGAAGCGCTTAGAAGAGAGCCTGGTGTGGACCGCGGGCCACGGTGTACTTGTTATTAAACAAGTAAGGCTGGAGATGGAGGCGACCTGAGGTTCCTGGGGGCCCCGCCCGACCTTGGTTTCAAAATGGGATTCTTTGTCAAGCAGTAACTGGAAGTTCTGGTTGGAAGCGCTAGCTGGGATGAGAAAGTAGGCTCCACACCCAGGCACGGAGGAGGGGCCTGGATGCAAATATGAAGGGAGGGGGAGACAGAAAAGAGTCACAAAGGGCTAAATGCACAGAGACAGAAAGACGGGGTGGGTGGGAGAGGACAGAGAATACGCAGGGAGAGATGGGGACACAAAGCCACAAGGGTAGAAAGACAGAGACGCCCAGGGAGAACCAGACGCTTGGAGAGAAAGATGCATGAAGAGTGGAGAGGCATGAATTCTTCGTGATGTGGGCTCTAGCCATCGCCTGTCTTATGCAGCCACAACATGCCACTTTTTACCCATCAGAATAGCAAGACTTAGAAAGGTCAGTCTTGCCACTGCCTGTGTGCCCACATCCTCTGCCTCCTCTCCCACTTCTATAGGCGAACTGTCTGCACCTGTGACTAAGATCCTTCCCCTTGTGCTGGTGTCCTGTCCCCCAGGACTTCCTTGAGGACGTCATTCCAGCCTACGGTTCTCTACTCTCCGGCCCGCATCATGGATTTTTTTTTCTTCCCCAAGGAGCAGTGTCATTGACACACAAGCATGCTATAGCTTCCCCCATCTTAGATTATAATTAAAAATAAATAAGCAAAAAACCTTCTTTCAACCCTCATGTTCTACTTTAGCTCCTGGTTCATCTGCTCCTCACGACTACAATCCTTCTTTCCCTGAAGAGTTGGCTGCACTCACTGTCTGCAACCCCTCTCCTCCTGCCCTCCCTCAAGCCCACTCTACGAAGGCTCTCTCCCCCAACTGCTCCATCAACCATACCCCTGTGAAAGGTACTGGTGCCCTCCATCTTGGTGAATGCAAAGGCTAGCTCTTCAGGGTTCATCTTACTTGTGTTATCAGCAGCGTTTAACAAGTGGATCACTCCCTGTTCCTTCCAAGAGTTTCTTTCCTTGGCTTCTGGGACACTATGCACTTCTGGGGTTCCTCATCACCCACTGGCTGATCCTCATCCGTGTCTCATGCTGATTTCTCCTCATCTCTCCCGATGCTACATGGTGGAATATCTCAGGGTTTGGTCCTTGGTCTTCTTCTCTCTTCTGTCTATACTCACTCCCTTGGTGATCTCATCTGGTCTCGTGGCTTTAAATACCATCTACTTGCTGACGACTCCCAAATTTCTGTCTCCAGCCAGACCTTGCTCCTGAACTCTCGACTTAACACCCAACTGCCTACTTAACATCTCCATGTTCAAAACCAAACTTTTGCTCTCCATTCCTCTGCCACATTCCAGACACATTTTTCTTGTGGTCTTGGTCTTCAGGGTAGAAGGTCACGCCATCCTTTCTTCACTCAGTCAAAACCTGTCTCATCCTTGAATTCCTTTCCTCACACCATAAATTCATTTTGTGACCAAACCCTGTTAGATCTACCTTCAGCATAGATCCAGAATCCTACTTTTTCTCACCCCCTTCAGCTGTGCCATGCCACACTGGCTCCCAAGGTCTCTCACCTGGATTACTGCAAGTTTCCTAGCTGGTCTCTTTGCTTCTGTCCTTGTCCTTCTATACACTATTTTTAACACAGAAACCAGGGGAAGGTCCCTTGTCATCTCAAAACCCTGCAGTGGCTCCCACCCACTCTGAGTAAAAGTGGCATTCCTGACAGTGTTGTGGAGAGTCTGAGACCAACTGGCTCCTAATGCCATCTTCCACCTTCTCTTCTTCTCTTCTCCTCTCATGACAGGCATTCTCATGCCATCTTCTACCCTCTCTTCTTCTCTTCTCCTCTCATGACAGGCATTCCCCATCTCAGGGCTTCTGTACCTGAAACCCTCTTCCCCCAGATGTCTGCGTGATTCCTTCCATTCTTGTCATCCTCTCCATGAAGACCTTCTTGACCATTATTGTTGGGTACCACCAAGACTGGTTCATGATTCACTAGAAGGATTTGCAAATCTTGGAAAATCTGTTATAGTTTTGGTTTATTACCATGAAGGATACAGATTAAAACGAGCAAAGGAAAAAGGTGTGTGAGACAGAGTCCAGGAGAAACCAGACATGAGCTTCCACTTGTTCTCTCCTGGTAGAGTCTTATGGGCAGTGCTTAATTCTCCTAACAACAATGTATGACAACACACACAGAGAATTGCCAATCGGAGAAGCTCATTCAAATCTTGGCATCTAGGGTTTTTATTAGGGGTTGGTCACATAGACGTGGCTGCCTATTTGTGTGGCTGACCTTAATCTCCAGATTCTTCAGAGGTCAAACTGATATAACATGTCTCAAGGTCTCCACTATAAGTCACATTGCTAGCATAGATTATCTGGCATGACTCAAGGTCCCCAACTAAACAAAGAGACTGTAATTTGACAGAATATTCCAAGGGCTTAGTGGTTATCTCCCAGAAGCCAGGAAAAAGCCAAACTTTTCTTTGTAGTGCATAGGGTTTGGGCAACCCAACCCTGCTGGGTTGCACAAGTACCCAACATAAAATTGAAACTCTTCTCTGACATTCTCATACTTTATGTCTTACATACTTATTTGTTTCTTTTCTGCCTCTCCTCTAGAATGTGAGGTCAGAGATGTTTGTCCCATGCCTAAAACAATACCTGATGCACAATAGGATTCAGTGAATATTTGCTGGATAAATAAATGAACTATTAGCTGGGCATGGTAGCGCACTCCTGTAGTTCCAGCTATGTGGAAGGCTGAGGCGGAAGGATCGCCTGAGCCCAGCAGGTAAAGGCTGTGGTGGCCGTGAGTGTGCCATGGCACTCCAGCCTAGGCGACAGAGTGAAACTCCAACTCAAAAAAAAAAAAAAAGAACTGAAGTCTTATGAATAAATTAATGAACTACAGACATTGTTGAGAGTGTGGGGAGAGTGGAACCCTTCTTTTTAGACAAAAACCTGCCAGTATTTGATGGAACTAGTGAAGAATAGATTTTTTTAATCCAGTGGTCCCAACTCCTGTGTAACTAGTCCAGGGAAGTCTTCAATAGGTACATAAGTGGCATGTTCAAGAATAGTCATTGATTGCTGAGCATGGTGGTGCTCGCCATGCTCAGCTACTTGGAAAGTTGAGATTGAAGGATAGTCTGAGTCCAGCAGATTGAGGCTGTGGTGGCTGTGAGCGTGTCACTGCACTCCAGCCTGGGTGACAGTGAGACTCCGACTCAAAAAAAATAGTCATTGCACTGTGGCTTGGGTAGTGAAAGGATCTTAGGTATCAATCATTGGGGCACTGGGGCATTAAACATGGTGGGTGTATAGTCTGGAGTGATGCTTCTCAAAACTTAATATGTATTGAGTCCTCTGGGATCTTGTAATAATGCAGATTCTGCTTCAGTTGGTCTGTGGTGAGGTCTGTACTTCTGCTGTAATGCTGCTGTTCCCTGGACCACACCATGAGAAGCAAGAGTAAGGACTACAGCAGTGCTGCCTCATAGAACTTTCAGTGATAATGGAACCATTCTTTATCTGCACTGTCTAATATCACGGTCACTAGCCACATAAGGTTACTGAGCACCTACAAAGGTCTGAGCATGACTAAGGAATGGAATTTTCAAGTGTATTTAATTTTAGTTAATTTTAATAAATGATTAAATGACCACATGTGGCTAATGTCTACCATACCAGACAGCACATGTCTAGAAGACTCCATGGCAGTTAGGAGCAATAAGGCAGGTGAGCAAATAGCAATGCAGACAGACTGTTAAAAGACCATTCAGTGAAATCAGACCACCTATTTAATACTATGTCAGATCCTCGCCTATATTTGCCTTCCTTCATGATCTATTTCATTGAAAATAAGATGCTATTGATCACATTTGCTCTATTATTCTGTAGATCTCTCAGAAATAAAAAGAGGCTGCCAAGTAAATTATGACATGATGTTAAGAAGTGATGCTCAGTTAGCTGTAAAATTCTTTCCAATATCAGAGATATTAAAAATTTGAAAAGAATGTATGTCTCTGGGTCCATAAAATGTAGTGCTCAACTACCATAGCTGGGATTCTGAGGTAGAAATAAGATTAAAGTAATCTTTAATCCAAATTACTTTTACTTGGCTTTACAGAAGGATGCAGGACAGCATGGGCTGTATCATTTCAGTGGGGGCCCAAAGCTACCTGAATACACAGCTTCTTTTCCCCATAAGGCTAGTATGTCTGCCACATATGACAACCACAGTATGTGTTTATCAACTTGATAAAGAAGGTACAGCCTCCACCAACTCAGACAAGGACACTGTAAGAAAAGAAAATGTAGATGCAAGAATCATCAACAAAATACTAGCAAACTGAATTCAACAGCATATTAAAATGATCATACACCATGATAAAGTAGGATTTATCCCTGGGATGCAAGGATGGTTCAACATGGACAAGCCAATAAGTATCATATACCCAATTAACAATAAGAAGGATAAAAATAATATGATCATTTCAATGGATACTTAAAAATCATTTGACTATATACATCATCCTTTCATGATAAAGATTGTCAGGCTCAGCCAAGCATGGTGGCTCATGCCTGTAATCCCAGCACTTTGGGAGACCTAGGTGGGAGGATTGCTTAAGGTCAGGAGTTTGAGAGCAGCCTGGGAAACAAAGGGAGATCTCATCTCTACAAAAAAGAGAGAAAAGTTAACTGGGTGTTATTGTTATTGTGTATGCCTATAGTCCTAGCTACTTGGGAGACTGAGACAGGAGGATTGCTTGAGCCCAGGAATTTGAGGCTGCAGTAAGCCATGATAGGGCCACGGCACTTCAGCCTGGGCAATAGAGTGAGACTCCAACTCAAAAAATAAAGATTATCAAACAATTAGGTACAGAAGGCATGTACTTCAACATAATATAGGCTATATATGACAAGTCCACAGCTAACATTATACTTAAGGGTGAAAAGTTGAAATCTTTTAAGATCAGGGTTAAGATAAGGATGGCCATTCTCACCATTTCCATTCAACATAGTACTGGAAGGCCCAGCCATAGCAATTAGAAAGGAAAGAGAAATAAAAGGCATCCAAATTAGAAAGGAAAAACTAAAACTTTCTTTTTACAAATGACATGATCCTACATATAGAAAACCCTAAAGAGTCCACCAAACAATTACTAGAACTAATAAAGTTAGTAAAGTTTCAGGACACAAAATCAGTTGTCTTTCTACAAACTAACAATGAACTATCAGAAAAAAAATTAAGAAGACAATTTCAGCCAGGCTCGGTGGCTCAGCCTGTAATCCCAGCACTTTGGGAGGCCGAGGTGAGTGGATTGCTTGAGCCCACAGGTTCGAGACCCACCCGGGCAACTTGGCGAGACTTTGTCTCTAAAGATAAAGTTAGCCGGGCATGGTGGTGTGCGCCTGTAGTTCTGGCTACTTGGAAGGCTGAGGTGAAAGGATCACCGGAGCCCAGCGGGTCAAGGCTGTGGGAGCATGCCACTGTACTCCAGTCTGGGTGACAGAGTGAGACATCAACTCAAAAAAAGAAAAAAAAAAAAAGAAAAAAAGAAGACAATTCCATTTATAATAGAATCAGAAGCAGTAAGATACTTAGGAATAAGTTTAATCAAGGAGGTAAAAAAATTGCACACTGAAAATTATAAAACTTTGATGAAAGAAATTGAAAACAACATAAATAAAGGGAAAGTTATTCTGTGTTCATGAATTGGAAGAATTGATATTGTTAAAATATCCACACTAACCAAAGTGGTCTACAGATTCAATACAATCCCTATCCGAATTCCAATGGCATTTCTGTTTCTGTAAAACAGAAAAAAAAAATCCTAAAATCTACATGAAACTACAAATGACCTTGAATATCTAAAGCAATCTTGAGCTAGAAGAACAGAGCTAGAGACATCATGCTGTCTGATTTCAAAATATAGTACACAGCTATAATAATCAAAGCAGCATGGTACTGGCACAAAAAACAGACATATAAACCAATGGAACAGACCTCAGAAATAAACCTACACGATATAGTCAACTAATCTTCAACAAAAGAACCAAGAATACACAATGGGGAAAGAAAAGTCTCTTTAATAAAATCTGTTAGAAAAACTGGATAGCCACATGGAGAAGAATGAAATTGGATTCACCCGATATATAAAAATCAACTCAAAATTAATTAAAGACCTAAACATGAGACCTGAAACCAAAGAAAACATGGGGAGAAAACTTCTTGACATCAGTCTGGGCAATTTTTCTTTTAGATATGACCTTAAAGCACAGGCAGCAAAAAGTAAAAATAGACAAATAGGATTGCATCAAACTAAAACACTTCTGTGCAGCAGAGGAAACAATCAATAGAGTAAAAAGATAACCTACAGAATGGGAGAAAATATTTGCAAGTGATATATCTGGCAAAGGGTCAATATCCAAAATACATAAAGAACACAAACATCTCAATAGCAAGAAAATGAATAACCTGATTTTAAAATGGGCAAAGGATGTGAACAGACATTTCTCAAAAGAAGACGTACAGATGGCCAACAAGTATATGAAAAAGGTGTTCAGTTATCACTAATCATCAGGGAAATGCAAATTAAAACCACAATGAGATATACTTTACACCTGTTAAAATAACTAGCATCAAAAAGACAAGTGATAACAAGTGTTGGCAAAGAAATGGAAGGAAAGATAACCCTTGTGCACTGGTGGCGGGAATGTAAATTGGTACAGGCATTATGGAGAATGAGGCTCCTCAAAAAATTAAAAATAGAACTACCATATCATCCAGCAGCCTCATTTCTGGGTCTATATCTGAAGGAAATGGGATCAGTATCTCAAAGAGATAGCTGCACTACTTTGTTCATGGCAGTATTATTCATTTAAGGGGCAAGTTAATCCTCCCGCCTCAGCCTTCCTAGTTGTTGGGACTACAGGCGCACACCACCATGTCTGGCTTATTTTTCTTTTATTGTAGAGATGAGTTCTCACCAAGGTTGCCCCAGGCTGGTCTCAAGCACCTGGGCTCAAGCAATCCTCTCGACTTGGCCTCCCAAAGTGTTGGGATTATAGGTGTGAGCCACTGCACCTGGCCCAAGCACAGAACTTCGAGAAGACAGACACTAAGATCATTAGGTCATTACAAGGCAGACCTGTTCAGGATATACTACTAAGGGTCGAACAATAGCTCTCAGAGGGAAAAAAAAAAGCTCCTGTCTGTAGTGTCCACCCATTTTTGTGGTGTAAATACTGCCACTAAGGCTAATGTCAAGTTACCAATGTGATATCACTGGACACAGAGTTGGAAAGATGTGTGTGGAGGTTTGCCATTTACAAACATAGTACGACAGACACATATAACCTCAAAGCATAGGTATTAGTTAAAATAATTAGGAATAAATTGAGTTTTGAGTATGTATTGGCCTTGTTTTTTACATCAATTATTTAATTGTAAGTTTATGTAATTTAATTTTAAATAATGGCTGTATTTGGCAACCCGACTCTCGAAATTCCTGAAAATTTGCCAGTAGACTCTTGCGAGCGTGTTTGAGCTGGCCCTGGCACACACTGGGCCTGATGCCCAGCCCAAGTTTATTGGCCTTTTTACTCACAGGGACTCTGCTTTAGTTTTAAATCATGTTTATGGTTTCTTGTCTGTCATCTCCTGCTAGAATGTAAGCTCTGTGAGGGCAAGGATTCTGACCGGCTTGCTCAAGGCGAGTCTTCCAGCGCCCAGAACAATACCTGGGTATATAATAGGTACACGATAATCATCCATGGGCGCAGGTAAGAGAGAGAATGTGACTCCTAACACGGTGGTGTCACATAAATCAGAAACGACACAATGTGACAGTGCCCATCTTCCAAGGATGCAGGGCATTCAAGGTCATTTGTGTTGGTTCCCTTGGGGGGGAGTGAGGGTGGAGGGAGGAGGAAGGGTAGACATCAATAGGTAACACCAAAGAAAGGCTGCCGCCGCCGCTTCCCCCACCCACTTGAACTCAACCATGGGATTAATTCAAATCTCCTCACCTGAGACCTGATTAGGAAAAAGAAGACATCTGTTTGCACAGACTGTTCCAGAAAACAAGGTGGTTCCCTGCCCTGAACCACAGTTGCTCCAGAGAGGAGGCTGGGAGGGGGGCAGTCCTGCTCAAGGTCACACCGCCTGGCTGGGGCGTTTCCTTCTAGACACCAGACAAGGTGGGGACAGACTCCCAAGGAACGACATGCAAACAAGGCAGCTGCTCACTCCTGGGAGCAGGACTCCCAGCTGGACACAGTGGGGTCACTGTGTCTGTGTCTCTTGAATGAGTTGAAGCAACGGATGAATGAAATCTGGGGTTATTCCACTTTATTCTTATTGTTCTTTGTTTGGTTTTTAGAGACACGAAGATTTTTTAAAAATTGTCTTCTTTGGAGTATGATGCCAGCTCAGAGTGTGTGTTCTGTCGCCCTCAATGTTAGGCACTGAATAATGAAGGTGATGCTGGAGGTGGGGTGGGGTGGGGAGAAAAACTTGAACAAGTGCTCTGGGAGAGGGGAGATCAGAGCCAGGAGAAAGCACCAGGATGCTGGGTGCTGGGGCTCCTGGGTCTGATGGAGGAGGGTTGGGGGCCTGGACTCCTGGGTTTGAGGGAGGAGGAGGTAGAGGCTGGGACTCCTGGGTAGGGGAGAGGGGGTTCCAGATCTGAGGGAGGAAAGGCTGGGGGCCTGGACTCCTGGGTCCTGAGTGGGGAGACGACGGTCTGGGAATGGGAATGTGAGTGAGGGCAGCGGACGAGATTCATCCAGTCAGTCGGGAGAACCATCATTGGCTTCGCATGGTTTGCTTGATCCAGTCTTGATACTTGCACAGGTTGGTGTAGACGCCGGGGTAGCCGGGGAGGGCGCAGCGCTCCATTCCCCAGGACACGAGGCCCTGGAGCTCTCCTCTGCACACCAGGGGTCCCCCAGAGTCACCCTGAGAGGAAGGGAGAGAGATGGAGACACAGACGGCCAGACGGCCAGAGTCGCGGGCGGGGAGAACCCAAGAGGAGGAACCGGGCTGGGCGGGGGGCGGGGCTCCAGGGCACGCCCCGCCCCTCGCTGAGCTCTGAGGCCCTTGGGGGCAGGGGCAGGGGCAGGCACCTCCTTCCTTCTTCAGGGTCCTGCCCTGTCTGTGTCTGTCTGTCCCAGCTCGGGTCTCACTGGGTCGGTCTGTCCTGCTCTGTCTCTAGAACACTGTGTGTGTCTCTTTCTATCTCCCTGTCTCTATGTCTTTCAGGGTTTAATATTCTGCAGGCCACAGCACAGTCTTCCTGATTCCCTCATGTGTAGACAACACTCTTCACTTGTTCTGTGAACTCTCTCCTCCGTTTCACCAACTACCCTTTGAGGAGTTAACCCTATTTGACAGAGGGGAAAACTGAGGCACAAAGGGGTTAAGTGCATTACCCAAGGAGCATAGCGCTAGGGGGGCAAACCTGGCCACCAAATCTCTCAGTGTCTGGGGTTTTGCTCTCTTCTGACACCTCTGTCCCTACCTCTCAGATCCTTTGGGACCTAAATCTTAGCCCCAAATAATCCCTCCTTGGCTCCCACCTGGGCCTTACCTGACAAGAGTCCTTTCCGCCCTGGGGGACCCCTGCACAGACCATGCCAGGAGTGATGGCTCCGGGATAGGCCCGCCGACACACCTGATCCGGGGTGATGTTGATATTCACGCATTGCAGAGAGTGTGGGTACCTGGCTGTGGGGAGATTGAGGGCTTGTGACTGGGGCCTACCCATCCCACAAGTCCCAGGAGTCCAGGCCCCTCCCTCCCGGTTCCTCCTCCCTTGGACCCTGCCCGTCCACCCTCAGACCCAAGAGTCCAGGCCCCCCAGCCCCTCCTCTCTCAGACCCAAGAGTCCAGGCCCCAGCCCCTCCTCCCTCAAGTTCAGGAGCCCAGGCTGCCAGCCTCTCCTCCCTCAGAATGGGGAATCAAGGCCCCCAGTTCCTCCTCCTTCAGCCTCAGGAGTCAAGACCCCAGCCCCTCCTCCCTCAGACCAGGAGATCAGACTCTAGTCCCTCCTCCCTCAGACCCAGAAGTCCAGACCCCCAGCCCCTCCTCCCTCAGACCTGGGAGTCCAGGCCCCAGGCCCTCCTCCCTCAGACTCAGGAGTCCAGATCTTAGCCCTTCCTCTCTAGGAAGAGTTAGTCCTCACCAATAGGGCTGGATATGGTCCCCCAGCCTGATGCAATGCAGGGGGTCCCGGGGCTGGGACAATCCTTAGGAAGGGAGATGGGCCTCACTGCCCTCCCCAGAGTGACAGGTTTCTCCAGCCGAAGCAGCATCAGGTCGTTGTCATGGGTCCGGGAGTTGTAGTAGGGGTGTGTCACCTGGCGAGTCACGCGCAGCAACTGCTGGGTGGCCTCCCACCTCCTCAGGTTGTGCTTGCCCAGGTACACCCGCAGGATCCTGGCCCATGATCCCAATAGTAGAACTGCTCAAGGTCTGACCCAGAGACACCTCTCCACCCCCAGACCCCTTCCCTTGCCAGCTGGTGAGTGTTCCCCTAAGTCTAACCTACTTCCCTCTAACTGCAAGCTGAGCATTTCATGGCCTCCTGTGCCCTTTCCCATAACCTGGGCCTTCTCTCTTGGCCCAACCTCACCTGCCTTCCTTTCCTCTCTCGAGCTGTGCTCCAGCTCCTGCTGGGTATGAGGTGAGGGTTGGAAAATTCTGGGTCAGTTCCAGGGTCTATGCTGGTTCTATGCTTTGAGTCCTAAGTGAAACTCCAGGTTATGACTCTAGGCTCTAAATCAGGGTTGACATTCTGGAGGAGGCTCCATTCTGTTTGCAGTCTGGGCTCTGGGTTCTAGACATTTGTAACTTTCAACTCTAGGCTAGGATTAGGATTCTAGATCAGGTCTGGGTTTTGGAACAATTTCTAGATTCTAGAAGTCTTGGCAGATTTCTAATTTCTAGATTTCCGTTTTAGGGTAGCCGGAGGGTTCTATTCTGAGCAAGGGATTTCGATCTGAGTTGTGGATTCTGGACACTGATATGAGCTTCAGTTTCTCAGTGCTGCTCTGGGTTATTTAATGAGCTCTGGTTTATAAACTGTGTTTTGGACAATGACTTGAGCTCGTGCTCTGGTTGGGCACAGGGTTCTCCACATTGTTCTGATCTCTATTTCAGGTTGAATTACAGGTTATATCTTGGTTCTTGGTTCTAGACTCTGGTCTAACCCTTGGCCTCAGGTTGGGCTCTGGGTTCTCAATGGAGCTCCAGGTCAGGGCTTGGATTCAAGGTCCTAGCAGTCGGTTTCCATCCTGGGTTTTATGTTCTAGACTCTGATCTTCAGTCTCTAGATTCTAGATTGAATTTCAGTTGATGGCAGTAGATATGTCTTTTAAGAACGATGTGAGTGCTGACCTGGACTTCGACTTCTTGACTGGAGTCTGGACTGTAGATTCAGGTTTAAAATTTGGGAAGGGCTGTAGGTTTCACATAGGGCTTCATATGATGGTCTACTATCTGGGATTTAAACACTAAGTTGAGATCTAGGTTCTAGGTTGCTCGACAAGGGGCTATAGATTAGATTTTGAGTTAAACCTTGGATCTGAAACAGGCTCTAGGCTCTGTCTCCATTTTTATAGCTGTATTTTCTAGCTATAAGCAAGGTTTGGGATTTGTAGCTAGACTGTGTGTTCTAAACTGGGTTCTGGGTTCTAGATAATGTTCTGAGTCCCTGAATACATACTGCTCCCTGAATTCAATCACCAATCTGGAAAGGAAAGGGCTAATCTTAGTCTCCATGTCAAGCCTGGCCTCTGGATGGACCTCTGGGTCATATATGAGGTTTTAAGCCCACGGGTTCTAAGCTGCCTATCTATTTTCAGAATCTAAACTGAGTTCAAGATTTATGGCTGGAATCCACGTCCTGAACTGTCATCAGTTCTAGGCTCTTCTCTAGACTCTAAACCAAGATCCAGTTACTATGTTGGGTTCTGTGCAAAACTCCACGTTCTCAGCTGAGTTCTAGGACTCTACACTCTGGAATTCTAGATGATGCCACCACCCATCCTCCTCCTCCTCCCCTCGGCACAGGATAGAGTTGTAGACTCTGGAATTCACTTGTCATGAGATGAGGGGAGCGAGTCACTCACGGCCGGGCACAGTGAGCAGCGGTGATGACCCACTGGTCTGAAAGCAAGGCCCCTCCACAGAGAAAGTGACGCCAGGGACCTGCCATCAGGGCCGCCTGCCATGGCTGGGAGTTCTGGACACACGTATAGCCGCCAATTATCTTGTTCTCATCCTCTTGGCTCTGGGTCATGGCTAGGAGTAGACGGGTGGGGTAAGCTGATGAGCCAAGGCTTCACCCCCCGACTTGGTAAGTTGTCCAGAACTGTCAAGTCTCCTTCCCCTTGGTCTGACCCCTCAACCACCCGCCTCTCTCTGCCCTACCTTGTGTGAGACATGCCCAACAGGGCACTCCCATCACCACCCCAACATAATCGGGGAGTTTTCTGCTTTCATTCTCTCACGTCAACTCCATGGTATCCATTATTTTTCCCACCTCATCCAAGACCGTGTCACACATACAACCCTTGACTCCATGCTCTCATGGATACTTTCTGTCATCTCTTCTCACAGTTGGCCACGTTTCCCCCATCAACTCTTCCCCAACACATTTAAGGAGCTCCCTGTCTCTGCCCAGACTTCCTGTGCAAGGTGACCCCCCCCAGGACCCGCCATCTTGCCCCACACCTACATTCCCGCCGTGATGCCACCACTCTGCCCTCCTCCTTCCCTCTGACAACAGACCATTTTTCTTTCCTAATGTGATCAAGGAGGGTCCTGTGGCACTTTTTTCTGATATGATCCTCTCAAGACCCCAGGGTCTGCCACAATTCTTTATTTATTCCTCCCACCTTCTATAGCTGCCACTAGCCCCTCCTCCCTCAGACCCAGGAGTCCAGGCCCCCAGCCTGTCCTCCCTCAGACCTAGTATCTCCTCAACTGGGAGCTTAGGCCTCCAGCATGCCCCTCAGCCATGACCCCAAGCCTCTCCTTGCTCCTTCTCCCACTTGAGCATGCAGCATCCCCCAAGACCCTCCCCTCTCTCTTCTCAAAGTTCCCCAGGGAGCCCCCTGTCCCCACCCCATGGTTCTCTTACCTGTAGCCAAGATTTGCAGTGCTGTGAGCAGGAGGAACATCCTGGGGGCTGGAGGCCGGGTTCTGTCGAATGCAGAGAGAAACTGACAGAGAAGGAACCTGCAGGAGACCCGGGGGCTGAGAGACAGAGACAGCAAAAGCCACTCACACAGAGACCAAGACCCTCAGAGACACGGAGAAGAGCAGAGAGATAGAGACCAGAGACCGAGAGGGCGGGGCCCCGGGCTTGTAGGTGGCAGGAAGATGCTAAAGTCCCTCCTTGTACCTTGGTGAGGGAAGCTGGGGGTGGTGTCTCTCTTCCCAGTCATGCTGGCAAGGCCTTTTATCCCTGATCCGGGCAGCTGGCCCAGCCCCCCCTCCGCCACTCAACTCCTGACAATTTTTTTTAATTGCCGGTTTCCCATTCCAGGACTCCCTGATCCCATCCCCTCCCTCCCCTCTCTGGCCACAATTGTTCACAAGAACCAGCCTGGTGAAAATGTTACAACCTGGAGGGAGTCCAGGGAGGGATCCCAGGGCAGGGTGTGCAGGCGAGAGTCCCTATCGTGGAGGTGGATTTAGTGGTGGACTTGGGAGATCAGGGAGGGGGCTTTGCTCAGAGGAGGGCGGAACAGAGGCAGTGGGAGAGGCAGCCACAGGAGGGGAGTGAGACGAGATAGAGAGAGTCAGAGAGAGAGAGAGAGAGAGAGAGAGACAGAGAGAGAAAAAGATAGAGACAGAGAGAGACAGAGAAAGATAGAGAGAAAGAGAGAGACACACACAGAGACAGAGAGAGAGAGACAGATAGAGAAAGAGAGAGAGAGAGAAATAGGGACAGAGAGACAGAGAGGGAGAGAAAGATAGAGACAAAGACAGAGAGAGATAGGGAGACAAGCACACAGAGAGACAGACAGAGAAAGAGAAACATAGAGATAGAGAGAGAGACAGAGACAGAGAAAGAAAGAGAGAAAGGCACACAGACACACACACACACACACAGAGACAGAGAGAGAGAGAAAGAAAGAGAATCAGAGAGTCAGAGAGAGACAGATACAGAGACAGAAAGAGTAGCACAGAGAGAGAGACAGAAAGAGAAACAGAGAGACAGAGAACCAGAGAGAGACAGAAAGACAGAAAGAGATGGGGAGAGAGGAGGAAGGTGGACGTGAGGAGAACAGAAGAGGCAGGTAGAAAAAACCAAGACAGAAGGCAAGGGAGGCACAGAGAGACCCAGAGAGATGAGTGTGGGAACATGGAGAGTGGTCGGGCACGGTGGCTCCTGCCTGCCATTCCAGCACTTTGGAAGGCCGAGGTGGGAGGATAGCCTGAGCCCAGGAGTTTGAGACCAACCTGGGCAACAGAGCGAGGCCTCGTCTCTAAAAAAAATCAGAAAATTAGCTGGGCATGGTGGCACACGCCTGTAGCCCCACCTACTTGGGGGAGGCTGAGCTAGAAGGTTGCTTGAGCCCAGAAGGGGGAGGCTGTGGTGAGCAGTGATTGTTTCACTGACCTCCAGCCTGGGTGACAGTGAGACCTCGACTCAAAAAAAAAACAAACAAATATAATAAATTAAATGTATAAAAATAGAGAAATGCAGAAACAGAGGAAGAAGGTGAAGCTGGAATAGAAACAGACAAAAAAGGAAACGGCCGGGCGTGGTGGCTCACGCCTGTAATCCCAGCACTTTGGGAGGGGGAGGCAAGAGGATTGCCTGAGTCCAGGGGTTTGAGACCAACCTGGGCAACTTGGCGAGACCTCGTCTCTACAATAAATCAAAAAATCAGCTAGATATGCTTATGCGTGCCTGTGGTTTCAGCTACTTGGAAGGCTGAGGTGGAAGGATCACCGGAGCCCAGCAGGTCGAAGCTGAGGTGACCGTGAGCTTGCCACTGCCCTCCAGCCTGGGTGACAGAGTGAGACTTCGACTCTAAAAAGAAAACAGTGAAAGGAGAGTAGGCGGAGGCCCCCATCGCCACTGCCGATCACATGCAGAACCGCGGCTGGGATGTGGAAGGAGCACGAACGTGGACATGCAGGGAGATGGCAATGCTGGAGGAGACAGAGCAGGAGGAAGGAGCTGAGCAGGCAGACACAGTGGGGACACAGGAGTGAAGGGTGCCAACAGGCAAGGGGACACAGGCAGGAGGCAGGAGGGGTGGGTGGGAGAGAGGATGAGCAGAGGCGCCTGGCCTGGGGCAGTGCTGTCTACCTGTCCTTCTCACTTTGGGGCCCTCACAGTCCTGGGAGGTGGGGAGAGCAGAAGCCCCAGCAGGGGGGAGGAGGGACCGGTAACCCCCAATGGGGGGGGTTGGGGAAGAGCGGGGGACAGAGATGGAGTGAGAGACGGAGACGCAGAGAGAGACAGAGATAGGGGTGTGCAGAGAGATGACAGAGACCCAAAGAGAGAGAGAGACAGAGACTCAGAGAGAGAGAATAGAGGCCCAGAGAGAGGGAGGACAGAGGCCCAGAGAGAGAGAGAGAGAGAGAGAGAGAGAGAGACAGAGAGAGACAGAGACCTAGAGAGACAGAGACCTAGAGAGAGAGAGAGGAACAGAGACCCAGAGAGAGGACAGGGCCCAGAGAGGGAGACAGAGACCCAGAGAGCTGGACAGAGATGAAGAGAGAGAGACAGAGATCCAGAGAGAGAGGGGAACAGAGACTCAGAGAGAGAGGGGGACAGAGACCTAGAGAGTGGGACAGAGATGACGAGAGGGAGACAGACTTAGAGAGGGAGTCGGAGATTCAAGACAGGGAAGGGCAGAAAACAGGAGAGACAGTGCGGGTGAAGGTTCCAGCCCAAACCCGGTGGGGTCCTGGGACTGCTGGTAGGGTAGGCCTGCCATGTTACTCTGTTGCCCAGGCTGGAGTGCAGTGGCATGCTCACGGCTCACCACAGCCTCGACCTCTTGGGCTCAGACAATCCTCCAGACTCAGCCTCTGCTCAAGTAGCTGCCCGAGCCTCTTGCACTCCCTGAGGCTTGTCAGTCTCTGGGCCTGGAAGCCCAGCCCTTCTCTGTTGGGGACCTGCCTTGTCTGGCTTCTTGGGCCGGTGCTTACCTGGGTCTGGATATGCGCCTGGGGACTCTCTGTCTGTGTACCTTTGTCTGAATCCACGCACCCATCTCTTCCTTTGCACGTCTGGTTCCCCCGAGCTGTTTCTGGTAACCACGGGCCTCCCTGCTCTGAGCTGAAGGCCTGGGTAGCCTCCCCGGGGGCCTCTGCCTTGGCTCACCAGGAGAGCCTGACAGTGGAAGCACCTCCTTAAAGAAAAGTGTCTTCGGGAACACCGGGGTGGGATGGCCCCAGGAGTGCAATGGGGGAGGGGACAGACTGGTTCTGTATCTGGATGCCGTGGTGGCTACATGGGTCTACTCACAGGATAAAGCGACTTGGAAACCCATGTGCACACACACACGTGCAGAGAGGCATGTAAAAAAATATGCATGCACAGGCCAAGTGGGGTGGCTCACACCTGTCATCCCAGTGATTTGGGAGGCTGAGGCGGGAGGATTGCTTGAGGCCAGGAGTTCAGGTCCAGCCTGGGCAGCATAGTGAGACTCTACGTCTAAAAAAATTAAAAAGGAACATGCAGTAAGATCTGTAGTCTAGGTTGCAGCATGGCGCCTGTGTCCATTTCCTGGTTTTGTTGTCGGACTACAGGATACAAGTGTCATTGTGGTGGGGGAGGGGGAAGAGGGGAAGGGGCACCTAGGATTCCCCCGAACTATGTGTGCTGTGAGTCTAAAATTATCTCAAAATAAGGTTGGGAGCAGTGGTTCATGCCTGTCATCCCAGCACTTTGGGAGGCCAAGGTGGGAGGATTGCTTGAGGCCAGAAGTTTGAGTCCAGCCTGGGCAACATAGCAAGACCCCATCTCAACAAAATTAAAAAAAAAAAAATCAGCCAGGCAAGGGGGCACATATCTGCAGTCCCTGCTACTTGGGAAGTTGAGGCAGAAGGATCACTTGAGTGACAGAGTAAGACCCTAATTCAAAATAATAGTAATCATGAAAAAATAATCTCAAAATAGAAGGTTAAAAACAAAATGGAATTTCTTGGTAAAGACAAGGTATCTCTCTTCCCAAGAACACTCTGGTTGGGCAGAAGGCCTTGGTGAAGCCAAGGGAGCCAGGGGACAAGACTGGGGGTGCAGCAAAGAAGGAATCTCGGGACACTGCCCACTGCTTCCAAGATCCTGCCGACCCCATCACAGCCGTCCACACCTGCCTTGTTGTGGCTGGGGTGCCTATTTCTCCTCCTCTCACCAGAATCTAAGCCCCTGGGACATCTTGACCTTCACTGCACCCACCTGCCTAGGACAGCCTTGTTTGCCATGCCAAGGGTACCAACAAGTAGTCGATGAATGAATGAATGAATGAATGAATGAATGAATGAATGAATGAATGGACAAACAAACGAACATGGGGCCACAGTTCCTGCACCTCTGTAAACTTACGGTTTGGAGGGATAGGCCCACAGGGCAACAGGAAACTCGATCTGTCATCTTGTGTGCTCTGCTGGAGGAAGTCAAGGGGTCTTATGGAGTCCCAAGCATGGGAAAGGACTCCAGGAGGCTGGGGCCTGCAGGTGAATAGGAGTTTGCCAGGGAGATTTCACCAGGGGATGAACGGTATGTGTGAGGGTGAGAGGGAGGTGAGCTGCTCTGAGCAGAGGCCTTGCGACAAGGGCAAGGAGGAGGGTGACAGAGCTCAGAGTGCCACCTCCCCCATGCCGCAGAGATTTTACCCTGAGGGTGAGGGGCCGAGGGGGATGTGACCCTGAGTAGGGGATAAAAGAGCCCTTCAGGTGCTCGCTGGGGACTCAGGTCTGGAGCTTAGGGGAGCTGTCGGGAGATACAGTGATGGGGCGTCACAGGAGCAGAAGGCACTTGAAGCCAGAGCCCACCCTGGGAGAGTGCAGGGCATGGGAAGACCCCAAGGAAGACCCGCAGCTTAGGGGGTGAGAAGAGGCTATCCCCAGGGTAGAAAGAACGATGGAAGAGCCAGGAGGAACACCAGGAGAAAGCTAGCGTGGACAAGTTGAGACCATTTCTTTCCCTTTTTTT